ACTATATTAGGGTGATTAAAGACATGTATGCTGGAGCTAAGACTCGGGTTAGGACAGTAGAAGGCGACTCTGAACACTTTCCAGTTATTACGGGGTTGCACCAAGGGTCTGTGCTCAGCCCATTCCTATTTGCCATGGTGATGGATGCACTGACTCAACATATTCAAGGGGAAGTTCCATGGTGCATGCTATTCGCTGATGACATTATTCTAATTGACGAGACACGAGGCGGCGTCANTTAATGGCTTACTGCATTGTTTAATGTTATATTCAAGACTAATAGGATGCCTGAAGAGTGGAGGTGGAGTACAATGGTCCCGTTGTATAAGAACAAAGGTGATGTCCAGAGCTGTAACAACTATAGGGGCATCAAATTACTGAGTCATGCCATGAAAGTTTGAGAGAGAGTGGTAGAAATGAGAGTGCGAAGGACGGTGTCTATTTCAGACAACCAGTTCGGGTTCATGCCGGGGCGATCTACCACAGAAGCTATCCACCTTATTAGGAGGATGGTGGAACAGTACAGGGATAGGAAGAAGGATCTCCACATGGTGTTTATTGATCTGGAGAAAGCGTACGATAGGGTTCCTAGGGAGGTCTTATGGAGCTGCTTAGAGGATAAAGGGGTCCCGGTTGACTATATTAGGGTGATTAAAGACATGTATGCTGGAGCTAAGACTCGGGTTAGGACAGTAGGAGGCGACTCTGAACACTTTCCAGTTATTACGGGGTTGCACCAAGGGTCTGCGCTCAGCCCATTCCTATTTTCCCTGGTGATGGATGCACTGACTCATCATATTCAAGGGGAGGTGCCATGGTGCATGCTATTTGCTGATGACATTATTCTAATTGACGAGACACGAGGCGGCGTCAACGAGAGGCTAGAGATTTGGAGACATGCTCTTGAGTCTAAAGGTTTCAAGTTGAGCAGGACGAAGACGGAATACCTCGAGTGCAAATTTGGAGTTGAGCCGACGGAAGCGGGAGTTGAAGTGAGGCTTGACTCTCAAGTCATTCCCAAGAGGGGTAGTTTCAAGTACCTTGGATCGGTTATTCAGGGGATCGGGGAGATTGACGAGGATGTCACACACCGTATAGGGGTGGGGTGGATGAAGTGGAGGTTAGCGTCGGGAGTCTTGTGTGACAAGAAAGTGCCACCGTTACTAAAAGGTAAGTTTTATAGAGCAGTGGTTAGGCCTGCCATGTTATATGGAACTGAATGTTGGCCGGTAAAGAACTCACACATCCAGAAGATGAAAGTAGCAGAGATGAGGATGTTGAGGTGGATGTGCGGGCATACAAGGATGGATAAGATTAGGAATGAAGATATTCGAGAGAAGGTGGGCGTGGCCCCCATGGAGGACAAGATGCGGGAAGTAAGACTCAGATGGTTTGGGCACATTCAGAGGAGGAGCACTGATGCACCGGTGAGGAGGTGTGAGCGACTGGCTGTAGTGGGCACGCGGAGAGGTAGAGGGCGACCTAAGAAGTATTGGGGAGAGGTGATCAGACAGGACATGGCGCGACTTAGGATTACTGAGGACATGGCCCTTGACAGGGAATTATGGAGGTCGAGCATTAAGGTTGTAGGTTAGGGGAAAGTTGTGAATATTTCTACAGCACAATAGAGTGAGACTAGCCAGTTAGGAGTTAGACTAAGAATGTCATTGGTCGTCTATTGATGCAGGGCTTTACCTGCTAGTTTTACTATACCAGCCATCTATTTCGTATTTCGTATTCTGTATTTCATATCTCTTATATTGCTGTTATTTTATTATGCATTTTTATGGTACTAATATATCGGCTCCTGTTGCTTTTTTGAGCCGAGGGTCTCCTGGAAACAAACTCTCTACCCTTTGAGGTAGGGGTAAGGTCTGCGTACATATTACCCTCCCCGGACCCCACTTGTGGGATTATACTGGGTCGTTGTTGTTGTTGTATTTGGGTTACTCCATTGGAATCCTGGATGTTTTTGTGCCATGGGACTACCGAATGGATAACTGGTTCTATACCCAATAATATTTACTTGTTCTTCATTTTGCGTTGAAGCTTGACACTCATGATTGAGATGATTGCCTCCACAAACGTCACAATTCTCATGTTGAGATGATGATTGAGTATTTACTTATCTACAAATTATCTACAATTTGCGTATATTATTTCTACTCAGTTATATACAACTACAATATAATACCACTTAAATACAATTTTTATACAATGTTGTTTAACTTTCATACAATAGTTAAATGAATAAAAGAAAAATAAATAAACAACAATCTATAATTTTTCTATAATTTCTGCAATATAATGTATGTCATGTCTTCTCCTTCGAGTTTTAATATGAAATTCAGCCAAAACCAAGTCTAATCTTCACCAAAACCCCTCAAAATTGAGATATAAACTCCAAACTATATTCCCAATTATTTTCAACAACACCCAATACAAACAAATAATGATTTTTGAAAACCCAAATTTGAATTCAAAGCTTCAAAGCTTTTTAATGGCTGTCAATGGTGGAATTGCTGCTCTCTTTTCCTTTGCTTTATATTACTGAAATTTAGGATTAAGAGATAGAGAGAAACGTAGAGAGAATTCTCAATTGTTTGCAACAACATCCAATCCAAACAAACAGCGTATGAAAATTCCTTTCTCTATAAAAATAAATTCCAATCAAACAACGTATGAAAATTCCAATCCAAACAAACAACATATGAAAATATACAGAGAATATTTAATTTCCTAATATTAACATACCTAAATAAGGAAGCTTAAAGCTATAATAATTTCTTATTTAATGAATTATCTATATTTTGTAAAAATAATATTAATATGACGGGTAATATGGAAACTATTCCTTTCTCACAATAAAAGGGCCCATTAGAAGTAACCCACCTCTTTTAGAGAACCTAAAAAAAATCAGTAACCTTGACCAACAACGAGGAAGAGATTTGCATTTTACCGGCTGGTGTCCCTTCGAAGCTTTCCCGGGTAATAGTTAACACATCGGTGGATGGCTCCATTAAAGAAATCGAAGAAGACGAAGAAAGATTCAAAGAAGTTTAAGAAAATCAAACACAAAAACAAGAAAAACATTAGCATTGTTCCTGTTGAGAACAAAGGAAGTAGTGAATGCGATTGGTGGGATAGTTTCTGGCACAAGAACTCACTAACCCCAGGTCCCTTTACTTCTCTCTGCATTTACCCAACTGTAATTTTTTGTTATTTTGCCATATTGTAGCTGAAATCGGCAAATTTACTTGTATTTGAAACCCATTTAGCTTCAAATACTGTTGAAAAATTCACTATAGCTGTGTTAAACTTTACTTAGAACTCGATCGGGGTGTTGGTAAATGTCAAGCTTGGAGCTTTAAGCCTAGTTCCTTTAAATTTGGTGCATTATTTTAACCCCTTTTATGTGAAATTCACAAAGCATAATAGGACCAAACCTGGAAGAGGGTTGCTGTAGGTTAAAGGGTAGTGTGCAATTACAAAACCCAGTACCTGCGCTGGTGGGTGTTAGTAGGTACTCAGCGGAGTAGTCGATGTTCACCCAAGCTGGCGCGGACACCACCACCACCACCAACCCAGTATAATCCCATAAAGGAGGGTAGTGTGTACGCAGTCCTGAGGTAGAAAAATTGTTTCCGATAGACCCTCGGCACAAGAAGATGAAAAACGACAATATAGTAATAACAACAACATAACCACGAAGATAGTACGAACGAGCTAAGAATCTAAAAGTATACCTGGAAAAGCAATATCAATAATCAGTGCAGTAACAAGGTCCTAGAAAATAGTACGAGCACAACATGTACCACTAGCATACTAAAGCATGACACTGACCGACTAGACTTACACACAAAACGAGTAGAAAACGCTCACTACCTACTAACCTACAACCCTAATGCTTTCCCTCCATACCTTCCTATCAAGGGCCATGTCCTCGGTGAGTGGCGCGGACACCAACGTCTTAAAAAAAGAGTAGTGTGTAAAATAGTATGATGATTCCTATAGTCGAGTCCAACTAGTTTGGAACTAAGACGTACTTGATTGATTTACTGCATTTTATCTCTGGATTCTTGAAGTATACTTGAAGTCAACCCTCTCACACTAGGAAGAAAAAACATTTTACTCATGAAGACTGTGTGTTGGAAAGGTACTCTTCTTCTTGGAGCTTTAGCGTAATTTATTCTACAATTCAAAATAGTAAAATCCCGAGCTGTTGATACATAGTTGACCCAGAACTTTTACATTGACATTTTTTGTGGCAGAAGCTGTTATAGTTAGGATATTTAAGCTAGTAATTCTTAGGTTTGTAATATGATTGTTATCATTGGTATGATATGAAGGTTTTCCCCACTAGATTGACCCTAATCTCCTCAAGAAGGCATGACTATGAAGTGTTTTTAATATCTTCCTAGATTGCCGTTGTCTTCATTTTGACGTTGTCCGCATGAAAATTTTATGTAACAATTATTCACGGTCCCTGTCTTACTCTGTTCTTTTTGCGTCATTTTGCAATTTGTTCTTTTTCTTTTTTAGTGTCTACAATGCAGGGATTAACTCACAACTATACCTATTATATTCTGTAGGTTGTGGTGTGCCTTGTGATGAAGAGGATGGTTTCAAGTACTTCTTCCGTGTTTCAAAGAAGACTTTTGATTACATATGTTCGCTTGTAAGGGAGGACCTTATCTCAAGACCTCCTTCAGGTTTGATAAACATTGAGGGAAGGCTTCTTAGCGTTGAGAAGCAAGTTGCAATTGCATTGAGAAGATTGGCTTCCGGTGAATCCCAAGTTTCAGTTGGAGCATCATTTGGTGTCGGGCAGTCCACTGTGTCTCAGGTTACCTGGAGATTCATTGAGGCGTTGGAAGAACGTGCAAAGCACCACCTTAAATGGCCAGAACCTAGTAAGATGGAGATAATCAAGTCTGAATTTGAACAATTATTTGGATTACCTAACTGTTGTGGAGCAATTGATGAAACCCACATCATAATGACTCTTCCTGCAGTTCAAACCTCAGATGATTGGTGTGATCATGAAAACAATTACAGCATGCTTTTGCAAGGTATCGTCGACAGCGAGATGCGTTTTCTAGATATTGTGACGGGATGGCCGGGGGGCATGACCACTTCGAGACTGTTAAAGTTCTGTGGATTTTACAAACTCTGTGAAAGTGGTGATCGTTTAAACGGAAATGTCAAAGTGGTTGAAGGAGAAGAACTTAGAGAATACATTATAGGAGGTTTTGGTTACCCTCTTCTTCCGTGGCTTATTACACCTTATGAAGGTGACAACCTATCAGATGCCATGTCGGATTTCAATGCATTGCATGAGACTGCAAGTTCAGTTGCGATGAAAGCTTTTGCGCTATTGAAGGGAGGTTGGAGAATCCTTAATAAGGTTATGTGGAGACCTGATAAACAGAAACTCCCTAGTATCATCCTCGTGTGTTGTTTACTTCATAATATCATCATTGATTGTGGAGACAGATTGCATCCTGATGTTGCGTTATCTGGTCATCATGACCCAGGATATGAGGGACAGAGCTGCAAGCAGATTGAATCAACAGGGAGATTAATGAGGGACAAATTAACTAAACACCTACAGGTTACCAAAAAAGAAGGCTCGATGTAGATGATCAGCTAACATTGAGTGGTGTAACCTAACTGCAGATATTGTTTAAATTTTTTAGAGATGAGACAAAGCAGTCCACGATCTTTTGCAAGTTACAGGTTTTGAGTGGAACCAAAAAGGAAAGAAACAGAGTAACTTGTAAGGATGAGTTGTGCGTTTTATGGCACTTGTTTAAAATCAAGAAGACTCGCTTGGTGCGTTTTGAAGAACCAATTATTGACGTGCTACCTTGGCACTTGTTTAAAATCAAGAAGACTCGCTTGGTGCGTTTTGAAGAACCAATTATTGACGTGCTACCTGAACCGGATATTTACTCTCCAAAAATTATTGGTAGATTCAATATAAGGCTCTGGTAACACATCCATACTTGGTTCTTGAAAATGAACCGAGCGAGTCTTCTTGAGTTTTTTGGATGAGTTTTCACTATTGTCATTCGAAACCCTCTTCCCACTACTAGTACCTGAAATTGTCTTTGATGAACGTGCCCCATCTGTTTGGACATCACTGGTCCTTCTTGCTCCCCCTGGCACAGATGGACGGAAATTAGGATTGGCACTGTAATTGACATAGCCAAATATCTCTCTCAACATTTTATGATGTAAAAGCCTTTTCTTTCTAAACAGCTTCTTACCACCATGGTCCTGTGAAAGACAATAAATCGAGGACCTTAACTAGAGTGAAAAGCTTAGCTTTAACAAACTTACCAAGTAAAGATCTTCCCACAACTCATCCTTACAAGTTACTCTCTTGTTTTTTTCTTTCTGTTCCATTCGCAATCACTAACTTGCAGAAGATCGGTGAGCTGCTTTCTCTCATCTCTTAGCAAGATCCTAAATGTTGAAGATATTCTCACTCTCAAAAAGTTGCATTGGCATTGGGGATTCTACTTGGTGATTTCTTGCTACTATTAGCAGAGCATCTCTTCCCCTAGGAAAAAGAGGGCCTCTTCAAAAAGCTTTGTTTCAGGCCATGTTGAAGATAAAAACGGAGTTCAGGTGCAAAATCTTTCTGTATGTAGAAGAGGGTACTTCATGGTCCTGGAGTATATGTGATGACTTACGATTCATACCTAAACTGTTTAACATGTCATTTAGGTAAACTCTCTCTACATTATTCTAATCATCACTTGTTTTCTTTTTCGTTGTGACATTTTAGCCTGTCCTAGATCATCTTTATTAAAGTGGTACTTGAATCAACTGTCAGTAATAACTCGTTAGTATGGTGAAGGGGCTAAATGCTTAATCTTTAACGGACTACTGCATGTTTTTCTGGAAAAGGTTAAAGGGATAGAGGGAAAGAAAAGGTCTTCCCGAAATAATTATTGTCAACAGTATGTACCTCAATGTACTTCTATTTGCAGGTAAACAAAATTTTCTGGCGAACTTGAGATGAGAAGCAATTAGTACACAGGTAACATTCATTCTTTTATTAATTAGAGTACATTAATTTTACAAAAGGTGGAGAGAAATAAAGCCACTTTCGGGTTTTTCCAAGGAATAGTACTGCAGTAGAATCTGGCTTCTTTAAGCCAATATGTTATGCTGCATCTTTACAAATTAGATGCACACATGAACCACTACAACACTGTTCAATAATACTACTAATAAAATAGACCAATCAATTAATTTCAAGTCAAACGTTGTTGCTCCATTTTTGGGATGCCTCATCTGTTGTAGATTTTGGTTTGCAGGAATGAAGCATGAAATTGCATGCTCCCACAGCTTCCCCTACTGTTAGAAAGATCCATTCTTGTCCTAATGTCTCAATAAATTTGGACTTGTTCAACTTTTTCATCACCTCTGCTCCTGGATTTGCCAACACAAGCTGCATTGCCACAAAAAAAAAAAAAAAAAAAAAAAAAAAAAAAAAAACCACCATATGTTACACAAGTTTAACTTCTATACACTGACTGGCCATAAAAAGCAGGATTAGTAATCTGAAAAATAAGGCAAGTTACCTGCTATAATAAGTTATAAAACACTGATCGTTGGAATTTTTTTTACAGTACTTTTAGTGTATGTAATTTAAATCCTATCTTATAGATGTACTTTATGGTGCAGTCTGTCTTTATAACTTGGAATGACAACAACAATAACATACCCAGCATAATTTGGGGAGGGTAATATGTACGCAGACCTTATCCCTACCTTGCCTGTAAAGGTAGAGAGGCTATTTTTTGGATACCCTCGGCCCAAGGACAAAATGAAAAGGAGCAGTATCAACTAGCAGTAACATCAGTGATATAGTGAAATTGTTTCGAAGAAAGAAATTGGAAAACAAGAGCCCAACCTTGTAATCTCTTCTATCAAGATTTTTCTTGACTTCTTCAAGCATGCTAATTCCACTTGTATCGATATTTCCCACAGCTGCCAATCAAAGAATTTTAGCTGTCAATGCTCAAACTCAGTCTTATATGTTCTTGTGCTACGTTTAAATGTTTTTATTGTTATTTTCAAAAAATAAACTGAGTGATGAAAGAAATTATAGAGACTGCATAAATTAACTAACCTCCCATATCAAGTATAACATACTGCAATGTTGTTTCTCCTGAAGATTTTAACTTGTCTTCCTCTTCGTCAATCCACCTTGAGATCCTATAACAAGAATTGAGTTAACCATAATTAGTCGAGGTGTCTGCAAACTGATATAGACACTACAGTTATCAAAATACTAATTACCGTTCTCTTAAATAGCTAGAATTAGCGAAGTAAATAGGGGCTCCAATGTCAAGAATGAGAACGCCTGGAACGTTGTTTGTATTTGGGTAATGCTCAACATTTCTGTATATCATAGAATCTGGGATATTACCAAGTACTAACGTCCTTGGCCTTGCTATAAAAAGTAACACCCTTAGCAACGATAATCCTACCTGCATTTCCATTAAACAACATTTTTATAAGTCAAACCATATAATTATCGGTCAAATTTGATACTGTAATTTTTTTTTACACTGTTAGTGCATAGAACATAAGGGATACTTACGGCTAAGACTAAGCCAATCTCAATGTTGGCAAAGACAACGCCAATGTAAGCACTGATGCAGACCAAGAAGTCGAATTTGTCGACATGCCAGAGATGAATGGCTGCATTATAATCAATGAGGCCGAGCATGGCGGAGATGATAATGGAGGACAGGACGACGAGGGGAGTGAAGTGGAACAATGGCGTTAGCAACAACAATGTCACCATCACTGCCAACGCCATGACAATGTTTGATACTGCAGTTTTGCATCCTGCGTTAAAGTTCACTGCTGATCGCGAGAATGGCCCTGCAGTATAAATAATTTTTACACTATCAGTATATTTTTACTTCTTATTATAGGTTAACTGTCTTATTTTTCAAGTTTCTAATGCCACATATTGTGGACAGTTGTATGTAATTATTTTTTAGGTAATGTAGTAGTGTTAGTCTTTTCGAAAACACTGACCTATTCACATTTGCTCTTTTAAAACTTATTTGACTAAACTACTCCATAAATTTACGTTTAATGTAATGTTAATTTGCTAAAAACTTGAAATGTCCTTATTGTCAATTCCTCATTCTTTCTTATTTTCATTTTTTTTTTATCGACAAGGAATTATCAATAACATAATACCCCTTTATTTACACATAATACGACTCAAACTCGTTACACTTTGTTGAAAATATATGCATTTCATCAACCTAGCCAACCCCACTCTTTTCTTACCTTCCACCCCTCCATTTTTTAGTATTTTCCTTCCCATATAATATAGTATAATTACGTTTCCTCTTTTCCAGTCTCTATCCCATTAATTTTAAGCTTTTCTTTCTCTCTTTCTCTCTTTTTTTTTTTTGCTTTTTCTTTTTCTTCTTTTATTGTTAGTAGGTATGCGGAGACATACAATCACGTGGTATGGGCCCAAATGGGAAATGAGAGTAATCCACATCAACTTTCGGCCCATAAAGGAAATAAAAGAGAAAAGAGAAATAATAACCAAGTCAAATATGATATACTATAGTAGTATGTAGGAACGTACCAGTAGTGAGGTAGCAGGAGGTGCAGGAGCCAACAATATTCATCATTCCAAAAGCAATCATCTCTTTGTTTCCATCTATATGGTAATTCTTGAACATTGCAAAACTTCTCCCTACTGCTATTCCTTCCTGTCCATATCAATAAATTAAGGATTTAATTTTAGTGCAGTGTGTTATAGAGAGTTTCAAATCCACTAAAAAAATTCTTTGCCACATAATGCAATTATAAGTATACGAAATACACTTATTGTCTATAATCTTGTAAGTTTACAGTGTCATTGAAAGTTGCCTTCAAAGTTCATACACAATTTTATAGAATTTTGATTCATACATGTGACAAGGAGTTATGTACACTGATATTGTATAAAATGTTATACTATCATTGCAATTTTACTAATCTATATATCTATAAAAGAGGGGATAGAAGAGATGACTTGGCACTTCTCTAAAGCCAAGAATCATATTTATTTATTTTCTCAAATTTTTGGGGCCTTTTCATACTTTCTCAATTTTTACTTTATTTATTTTGCTTTAAAAAGCCCAAAAGTCGTGTCTCTTCATGTCAATTAATAAAAGAAACTGTCAAATGAATGGATGTTACCGTTTCAGCCATCCATATTCCTCATTTATGGAGCCTCGCAATCACTGCAGTTTATAAATAACAAATATAGTTGTGCAACAATTCAAAATGTGTAAAAAGAAATTGTCTTTTACTAAAGGTTACACATCACGTCAGATCGATATACACATGCTTCCAACAATGGCTTCTCAGCCAAGTTTATTCCCTTATCCTCAGTCTACTCATATTACTTCTCCACTTCTCCTTTCCATTAAAAGATGTACGTTGGCTTGATTCCCAAAAGGAGAAACAAAGCAACTACTTTAGTGCTGGAAGAAACAGAAACTCATTGAGATGGGAAGAATTTCAAAGTGGTGCTTTTGAAGAATGGAAATAACGTAACGCCCAGCAGAGCATGAACGTAAAGAATATGGTTTGGAAAATGAGCTTTCACATTCCTACTTTAAATGGTTGCATGAAAATAAAGTTTTCAAATTTTCTCTTAATATGGTTCTTCTTTTTGGCTTCTTTCTTTCCATCTAAATTTCTCGGATATGGACTTACTCTATCTTTTTAAGGGACTCTTTAATCTTTGATCTCTACAAAAGTTCAGTTTTTCAAAGCACACTCATAATTATATTACATAATGATTCTTACGTTATTTATATTTATATATTCTTGTAAGGGAATGACACTAATATCTGTAGTGAGTATTTTTATATATAATATGATTTTCTTGAAAATGAAGTTAATTTCAGTGAGCAATTCTGCTTTATTGCAGTTGTATTTTGAAACGTATAATAAATGCATACAACTTACTTGTGTATTACTATATAATTATGAAGGTTTTGTGCTTCGTATGCCTCATTACAAAGTAAAAATGAGGTTATAGTATTTAAAAAAAAGAGTTCATTCAGAGATATGCAGTGATACGAACATTTGTATACTTTATTTCTTTTTTATTTCTTTTCCATATCAATTTTCTATATATGTATGTTTTCTTCTGTCCAAAAGGAAGAGTGAAATGATTGTAATAATGACAATAGGTGGCAATTAAAATTGCCCCAAAAATTTTTGCTGAATATATTCGAAAATGAAATGATTGCATTTATGATTGTTCGGAGGAGCTATTTCAGGAAAAAAGAGAATCTATTATTGTTTCGCAGAAAATTAAGAGGAAGCAAAAGAGGAATTGACTTGATTATTTTACAAAAAGTAACATTTTCAAAAGTTCTAGATGAAGTAGTGGTTAGTGGGTGAAAATGTAGAAAAGAACAAAAAGAGGGAAGAAATGAACAAGAAAGGAAGGAAGAGAGAACAAGGAAATAAAGAACAATGGAGAAACCTTTCGCAAAATAATATTCGACTCTCTAATTAAGGATTTAAACAATACATATATCAAATGAGTAGAAGAAAAATTATTTCGCCAAGATATATTTATCTAGATAAATATATATGTATATTAAACAACAAAGTAAACTAACCATTGTACAATTTAAATAATTAACCGCAGTTCTAAAAAGTAAAATATTATAAACTAAGAAAAAATATTTGAAAAACATCTGCGTCGTGCACACACACGTGTGTGTATATATATAAAATCAACCTTGAGGATGATTCTTTGTAATTTTTGCTCTAGGGGTTACCTCAAGAGTAGACCATGACTTCCTAAATTATATTTATCTATTTTTGGTTGTTTATTTGATCAGATTGAATTTAGTTTTATTATAAAATCACAAAATTTATTATAGTTCTTTTATATAATCGCGCGAAGCGCGGCCAAATTCTCTAGTGATTTATATATCGTCGCCAAAGAAGTCCCAATAAGCATCCAATTATGATATAGTTACAAATTAATGACTTTCTCCGTTCAATTTTATTAGTTGTCCACTTTTAACGTTGTACTTTCTTTAAGAAAAAAATAATTAAAATATGTGTTCTACTATTTTACCTATAATAATTATAGCATTTCAAAAAATCTGGAAAAATAATTTGGGGAATGAGCAGTTAATGATATGAAAAGTAAAGAGCAACCCAGTGCACTAAATTCTCGTATGCGCGGGGTCCGGGTAAGGCCCGGAACACAAGGGTCTATCGTACCAACTTTACCCTACATTTCTGCAAGAAGCTATTTTCGCGGCTCGAACCCGTGACCTCCTAATCACATTGAAAAAAAAGATTGTCTTTCTCTTTCTTTGCTAAACGGACAAGTAAAAATGAAATTATACTTTATAGTGGATAAGTAAAAATGAAGGGACGAAGAAATAAATATAAGTTCTGTACTCTAATATTGTATTCAAAGCGGTGAACATTATCAAGATCCGTCCATGCACACATGTTTTGTATGCTTGTTCTTGAAATTGTAAAAAAAAAGAACATTAGCTAGAGAAAAGTAATGCAAGTAGCAGGAATTGCAGCAGAAAGAGGACAAAGGTTGAGATTGGAAAGCAGATCGAGTGCTTACAGCAAGAGAAATGACACCCGTGACTATTCCTGTTTTGATAGCAGTTGTCATATAGGCCGACCCAAATGACAGATCCATTATTGACGGAGGATTTAACCCTTTCTTCAGCTCCCCTATCTGTTCCAATTTTTCATTTTCACATAATAAGAATCCAATGATTNCACATAATTATAAGAATCCAATGATTGATGGATAATATAAAGCATCCACAATTATCACAACAATCTCTCCTAAGATACAACCATCTTCTGCATACGACTTTACTTATGTGTACTAAAGGGCAATCCGGTGCACAAAGTAATCACGCGTTCTCGCAAGGTTCGGGAAAGG